TCGGTCTATTCTTCACCACATGAATGTTCCTAAACGGTTTTGGAGTGATGCTGTACTCACTGCATGTTTTCTCATTAATCGGATGCCCTCCTTCATTCTTCATGGTCGGTCCCCCTTCTCTATCTTGTTTCCCACTTTATCTCCTTTTCCATTGACTTTTCGTGTCTTTGGTTGTGTGTGCTTTGTCCACAATCTAAGTCCTGGAATAGACAAGCTAGATGCACGCTCAATTAAATGTGTCTTCCTTGGCTACTTTTGGACTCAAAAAGGGTACAAATGTTATAATCCCATTACCCAAAAGTGCTATGTCTGCCCTGATGTCACCTTTTTTGAGTCTGTACCCTTCTTCTCAAGTCCTGAAGCTCCTTCGTCTCTACCCTTACTTCCTATTCCTCTTCCTGTTAGTGATCCAATTCCAGATGCTGTTGTTGGAGTAGACTCATCACCTCATCCAGTGCAGATCACCACCGAACGATCACCATTCCGACAAGTGTATACACGTCGAACGACACCAGCCCCTCCTCCAGCTTCTACCTCATCTACAGATCCTCTCATGGCTCCTATTGCTGAACCTTCAGACCTTGACCTACCCATTGCCTTACGGAAAGGTAAACGCAGTTCTACCCTCCATCCCATTTCCAATTTTGTTTCATTATCTCGTCTTTCTACCTCACATTGCCAGTTTGTTTAACTTTTGTCCTCTATTTCCATACCGAACAATGTTCAAGAAGCTCTTAGTTCACCTGGATGGCAGCGGGCAATGGAGGAGGAGCTTTCTGCTCTTCAACATACTCAAACGTGGGAACTTACTACTCTCCCACCCGGTAAGCATGCTGTGGGCTGTAAATGGGTGTATACTGTGAAATACTTGCCAGATGGTAGTGTGGAGCGTCTGAAGGTCAAACTTGTTGCTAAAGGTTACTCACAGTTGTATGGAGTGGACTACATAGAAACATTTCTCCGGTGGCTAAGATTGGTTTTGTTCGTGTACTAATTTCCCTGGCAGTTATGTATGAACTACCTCTGTTTCAACTTGACATAAAAAATGCCTTCCTCCATGGTGATCTGGTGGAGGAGGTATATATGGAGCAACCACCTGGGTTTGTTGCTCAGGGGGTGGATGTTAAGGTGTGCAGACTGAAGAAGGCAATTTATGGGTTGAAGCAATCAYCACGTRCTTGGTTCGGGAAGTTCAGCGAAGTGGTGAAGAGTTTTGGAATGAAGCAAWGCCAGGTTGATCACTCAGTGTTCAGCTATGACTCAGAAGCTGGGAAGATCTTATTAGTGGTC